CAACATGATATCCCCGCCCTTACCCTAATATTAAAAAGAATTAAATTTTTATTTTAAAAAATCACTTTGATTTATACGTTACACCTGTAAATCACTGGTAATGATCACTAGTAGCGAAATATAGTAATTTTGTTAATTTAAAAATATATATTATTTATTTTTTAGAAACATCAAAAATAATAAATATTCTAATTATATTAAGCAATTAATGTATGAATATCCAAATGCTAATACAAATGAAAGAGTTAAAGAAAATTTTCAAATATTAAAAGAATCTAATGAACCAAATATAAATAGTGAGTATTAATTAATTTAATTATACTAAAATTTTTTTATAATATATAATTTATTTTTTTAAATTTTTTTAGATTGGGTTGTATATTATTTAATTTCTTGGATATGTGGTTCATTAAACTATATATATTCTTTTATTAGTAATGATATTTGAGACAAAGCTTCAGATAATACTAATGTTGCTAAAGCATGCTATTCAAATACAAATCGAGATGATAAATTTTTATCACTTGAGAATGCAATTTTAATGTAAATTAATTATGTTTTAAAATTTTTTAAATTTATTATTATATATTTAAATTAATTAAAACTATTACTTTAATTAAAGCTAAAAGATATGATATATAGAATTTTTTAACATGTAATACTCAAAAAATATATAGAATTCGTAAAACTAGCAAAAATCATGGAGTAGTTGCATGTAAAAAACAAGCTATTCACAGATCAGATAAATCTTTATTAATATTTATAATAATGATAATTTAATTAATATTAAATCTTAATTAAATATAATTTTTATAGCAAAAAAATGAGCCAATTCTATTAGTAAAACAGAATCATCTAATAAATCAAAACGAACAAAAAGAATTAAGAAAATTGAAAACTCTCAGGATTTAACAAATTTTATTAGCTGAATTTGATTTAGAAAAAGAAAAAAATTCTTTCTTTAAAAGAAAAAAAGTTAGAATTAGAAGAACAGGAATTAAAGATTGAAAAAGAAAAATTAGAAATTTTAAAACTTAAACAAGAATTAGGGCTTAAAATATAATTTTAAAGGTAAGTTAGAAAATATAAATATAATATATATGTGATTATTATTTATTATTATTTGTTATATATTAAAAATTGCAAAGGGGAGTAGCACTTATTACATAATATCAAGGGGGAGGGTGGTCAGAGAGATCTTACATAGTATATAATATATATATATATTATATTGATTTTGATTGGCTAATAAATCTGATGTGGAGGAGAAGGATAGCTTCCTGATAAAAAAATATTATATAATAAGTACGACTGCTCTAATATTTAGTTTATTATATAACTTAATATTGCTAATCATCAATTCCAAAATTCACCAAAATAAGAAACAAAGATTTTAACAATAACGAACATAGAAAACATCCTTTGCAATATTAAGGAAAAAGATTCAGTACAAAAAACTACCTCAAGTCTCTTAGTACAAGAACTTGAATACAACTAAACTTGGAGAAAAATTTTGCACTCTTTGTTATTTTCGACGAAAATTTAAGAAATTTGGAAATTTGCTCCAGACCCTGTAAATCTATCAACACAAGATGCATGACAAGAAATCACCAAAACAATAAACAAACAAATCGATCACATTCTATTTTAAGAAATAACAATAGATGATAACAATAAACAAATAAACATATACATTTTATTTTAGAATATACTAGTAATTAGAAACAACAACAGCAATCATGTGCGTAATCAATTGCAACATTAACAAACAAACACTACAGATGTATTCTATAACAACAAACAGAAGTAGTTTAATCTAGAAAACACACTAAAGTAGACATAGAACATACAACAACAATCTAGAAAATACTATTGAGAAATTTATTAAAGTTTAGTGCTTTATGAAAATGTTGGAAATAAACATTTTAGATTTTATTTAGAGCAGAAGTGTAATCACAACCAAGTATATGTTGAGCAAACAACTTGAAGATTCTATTAAAGAAGTGACACTTAGCGATTCTAATAATATCGAGCACATAGCCAAGATGTTAACAATAAAAGACGAAAGTAAAATTACTTCTATAGAGGTATTAGCTTATAGCCATTTAGTTAGGTCTTTACAAAGGGCAGAACTCAGAGGATGCTTAGAAAAAGAAATTCAACAATAGGCAGAAAAAGCAAGATGGGTTAATCAAAACCCTAAATCTATCAAATATATGGTAGAAATGAGCAAAGAAGAAATTCAAAAAGAAATAAACAAAATAGAAGATATAATAAAGATCGAAGAAAAAGAGGAATCTTTATCAACAAAGTCAAAAAAGCATAGACAAGACGAAGATTATGAGGAAAAATTAACAAGAAAAGAGACAAGTATAGAAGATCTCTCACAACAAGTAAAATGTATGGATATAAATATCGAAAGCAAATATGAAGAAACAAAAAAAGCTCTACAAACTGTTAATGAAAATTCAAGCGAAATTCTAGATGAAAGAAATCTCAAGGGCAAAAAGGCTAGAAAGGATAGTGAGGCCTCATAGACAGTATTTTACAAGATATATTAGAAAACTCTAAACTTAGAATACATCAAGAAAAGACAGAGCAGGAAGACAAAAACAAATACTATGAAATAGGTGATTCAAAAGAACAAAGTATCTGGTCACCAAGTAACAGAGTATGTGTAGACGATAAATCCTTCCGCGCAAAGGCACTGGCCTTCAAGGTACTAGAGGATTCACCTAAAGAAAGAATTATGAACATGGAAGGAATGTTAAATAAAGACAAACACATTAAATCAGTACAGGAAGTATTCATAAATAGAAACAGTTGGGTCGAAATTGAATTCGACTGTGAATATAGCAGAGACAAAGCAATTAAAAGAATCCAAAAGAAAAATTGAGACTAGCTTCATCTAATCCCAGTATCTAATGAAGAAACAAGAAACTTAAAACATAAACAAAGAAGTCAGAAGAATAACTATAGAGTTAAGTCAATTTCCAATTACAAACCCAAAGAAAATATTACAAAAGAAAAATCGCAAGAGATAGAGAAAATATCATTCCAAAAAAAAGAAGTCTATAGTGCAAGTCCAGAACTATCAAAAAAATACAACTATAACAGACATATTAATATAGATTGTATCACAATCTGGGACCTGCTTGTAGATATAAGTGTAAAGAAAGTTAAATATATCTGCAAGAAGCTTGGTATCATAGAAGATATGTATATCAGAAGAAGAAATAACAGAGCTTTAGCAGTAGTAGAATTTAGTAAAAGTTTGGAGAATGAAGCGATACTTTGGGCTTTTCCAATAGGTAATAGAAGACTAGCTCGTGTATTCAAAGGGAAAAAAGATCACGAAGAAAGAGACAATATGTATAAATTTGTTGCAACAATTACAGGAATTACAGAAGGCCTCTCTGAAATACTGCTATTAAGACACCTCAAAAACAGAGATACTAAAACAGTCTATATCCCCAAAAGAAAAAGTGGCTACATGAAGCAAATAGCGAGAATAACTTTTGCAAGTAAGTGAAAAAAGAAAGAAGCTCAAAGAAAGTCAGTTAGATATAACAATTTGATTCTTCATTAGATACGACCCAAGCAAGAAGCTGACACTTCATCTGAAAACTCTGCAGATAGAAAAGAAAAGATTAGCACCAATAGAAGTAAGAAAAGAGAGTCTAGTGATGAAGAAATAGAGATCTTCTGAAAAAAAAAAGATAACCACTATGCAATGATATCAGAGAATGAGAAAGAAGTTAATATCAACCTCGTTTCAGATAGTGATAAAGAAAATGCCAGACATTTCAAGAAGAAGAAGAACTTCTCTAACTCTGGGAAAGACAAAATAAAATAAAAAGATTCTAAAGCAGAGAAGCAATTCTTGAACCAATACATGAACCCCAAACTAGAAAATAAAGAAGACAAAGTCTCGTACTTAGAAAATAGAATTGATTAGCAACAGTCAATGCTGCAAGAAATTCTATAACAACTTGAAAATCTGAGTAAGCAACCAAGAGTTGCTTATCGCTTTTAAATTAAAAGCAACAGTTAAATCATATGAAAGTAGCAAAAGAATTATCCACTTTCTGCAAGAAGATGAGATGGAGAAGACAGATCACAAAAAGATAATCTTTTGCTAATCAGAGAACACAAAAGACAGAAAGAGAAAAAAAGTGATATACAAATATCTGATGATCTGGGAAAAAAGCATAAATAATATAAAAGATGCAAACAGCAACTACACGAGAAAAAGACAGAACTCACTATAGCAATACATAATATTAATGGTATCAAGAGCAATACACACAAATTAGACTTTTTATATGAATAGGCATCAGATAATGCAATAGATATTTTAGGAGTCGCTGAAACAAATATTTCAAATAAAGAAGAAATGTGGATAACTAAAGAATAAACGAATTACAGAAGCTTATGATCAAGTTTAAACAAAGACAAGAAGAAAGGCTCTGAAGTTGGTTTATTGATAAATAAACAATGAGAAAAATATATAGGGCAAATAGATAAAATTAACAAATACATGATCTCAGTAAATTTAGTTCTCAAGCAACTAGAGATTATAATAATAATGCTATATATTCCCCCAAACAATGATCAAGAAAAAAAGAAGATACGAAGAACAATCATTGAGAAATACATCAACCGGTCTCTCAGATCACAGGTAATAATAATGGGAGACTTCAACAGTATAATTGATGCAGAGCTTGATAGAATACCAAGTATAAAATATATCAAACGAGACTTAATTTTAAGCTGGCTACAAAAACAAGAATTCGTCGATGCTTTTAGAGCAATCTACCCAAGAGCTAGAAAGTGCACATGGTCTAACAGAGATACAAGTACAAAAATAGATCAAATATAAGTTTCTGACGAACTTTCTTGCGGTTTATTTGATACAAAAATACAAGAAATAAATATATACACGAATAGTGATTATAGTTCAATGATAGCCAGAATTGATCTTAAGCATCTTAGTGCTATAAAGAGCATTGCAGCATGCAAAAGAGATAAGCAAACTCGAACAGTCTTTCTCTGCAATAAAGCATCTAAAGAAAACTGGGAGGATTACAGAAAACAGATAGACAGTCTTCTTAAAAAAAGCATATATATAATATATTTAGTAAAAAAAACTCAGCAACAAAAAGAGTTATTTTCAGAACTAGATGAGCTATAGGATGATATAAGTAAAGCAATACTTTTAGCGGCAAGATGCAATTTGCTGAAAAAAAAGATCTGTAATACAATACAAAACAAGAAAAAAAGTGCTAAAGAGTTCAAACTATCATATTCCCTGATGCAACTAGGCAGATGGATAAATATAGGGAAGAAGAATATTAAACTAGGTTTCCTGTCAGAAAATATTCTGGATCTGATTACAGAAATAGAGTTTATAAACCAGCAACATAGTACAAATATCAACAAGATAATAACTATTTGGTCCTACAACCTTATTGATGATCTTAAAAGCTGGTAGAAAATTCTCTTTGCAAGAAGAGCAAACGAAACTGAACAATAAAAGAGAGCTGA